ATGCCAAGTTTTTCTCTAAAGTCAATTGTATACATTATTCTGCGTGTGTGTGTGTGTGTGTGTCTAAACTTTATCTTGCTATTGGTTATGTATCATCACTTCACCTGTAAACCGTTTTTATTTTCATTACAGTCTAGAAATACTACATTATTTTATATTCATGAATGGTGCTTCTGACTGTGTGGAAATCTCAATAGTTGTGCATTTATATGTTTGAGAATCTTGGACTTTATGAGAAAGTCCTTGTATTTCCTGTATTTCTAAATTACTTTTCTTTCAATATCACAGTGGTAGTGACAATTGAAATGTACAAAGCTAGCTGGCAACAGATTACTCTGTCATCTGAGAAACTTTTTTTCAATCTTATATTTAAAAACATATCATCAAACTCCTTTAATCAAGATGGTGAACTGGTACAGGGTGAAGATAATAAAAGAAGCACAGCATGGTAGAGACAGGCTGCATTTTCTCTCTCCTGCTGTGTCATCAAGCTCTCACCTTGATCTTAGGGAGAATGGCAGGGTGGGCTTCTTGTGGGGCTGCGTATGGATGCCACGGTATTCCATACGATTCTGTGACACAGACTTGCCCCCAGGGACAGGAGAGCGGCTTCCCACCATATGGGTCAGTTATGTTCAGGTGTGTTAAATGTTTGAGTGAGGGAGAGAAAAATCAGTGCCCAAGAAAGAATGACTATGTTGAACCCAGCCACAGACAATCCACAATGCTGGTTTAATAGGTACCTTTTACATTTTGAGCAAAATTTTATGGCAAATGAGTTGGAAGGAACAGAGGAAGAAATTCTGTGAAACCCTTGTTAAAAGTTGAAGGGTGGTGGGGCTTCCCTGGTGGCGCAGTGGTTGAGAGTCCGCCTGCCGATGCAGGGGACGCAGGGTCGTGCTCTGGTCCGGAAAGATCCCACATGTCGCGGAGCGGCTGGGCCCGTGAGCCGTGGCCGCTGAGCCTGCGCGTCCGGAGCCTGTGCTCCGTAACGGGAGAGGCCACAACAGTGAGAGGCCCGCGTACCGCAAAAAAAAGTTGAAGGGTATTTTCAGGCTTAGAGCACAGGTACTTTACCTGTACTGCACCATTGTGAAGCAGAATGTGTTAAAAACCCAACCAAATGCTTGATGCTTTGAGACTCACCTAGTCCTGCCCGGGGCAGCCTGACCCCTGGCCCCCTACACCAGTGATCACCGAATGGCAGCTTCTGGGATTGCAGGCACGGAACCAAGGTTCATTATTCAGAACTGGGGGTGGGACAGGGGCAGATCTTCCCTGAAGCTAGTAAAGCTTAAGATTCAGGGCCTGACACTTTGAGGGGCCCCTTCCAAGGCCCTGTTCTTAATTTTGTATTGAATTTTTTTTTTTTTTTAAGAGAAAGCATCAGGGCCCACAGTGTCTGGATCTGTGAACCTACTGAAGTTATTTGCAGGGTGTGAGCGAGGCTGTGTGTATATCGGCACGGATGCCTCCACAGTTTTCTGGGGGAACAGTCTGTAGTCCTCACTGCCTTCTCAAAGCCATCTGTGACTTAAAAAGGTTAAAGAACTCAGGCCTAGGAGAACTTAATCAGCCTCTTAGTTCTTGTCTTGTAAACCCAAACTTAGGAAGTGATGGTTTAATTGCTAGAGGCAGCAACTCAAGACCCTTCTACAGTTGTGCGCATCGATCACCAGAGACATAGCTAAGCATGTTTTTGATCAGTTGTATCTCACCTGGAATACACATCTTCATATCCGTTCATTCACTCATTCATTCGTTCATTCATTTCTGAACACTTGCTGAGTACCTGCTCTGTGTTTGCCGTGTGCAGGTTCCAAGAACCCAGAGATGAATTAGGCAGCCTCTCTGCTTTTGAGGAACTCACAGAGCTTCCGTTATTTCAGCTGTAGAAGGCTGCATTCTTTCCTAAGGTTGAGTGCTGTCCTTGAGACCTTGGGGCTATTTTTAACCAATCAAAATGAAAGCTTGCCAGCATATTCCCAGCTCCAAAATATCATGCAGAAAGCCAATCGTGCAAGAGGGCCGTTTCCCAGGGCAGGTCTGGGTGCAGCCGTCGCTGCTGCGGGAACCACGGCTCCATCTGTCCAGCTGTGACCTTCTTGTCAAGGGCCCCCAGTGCAGGGACAGCAGCAGGGTGTCAGCGCAGATCCCCGAGGAGCCCAGAAGCAAATGATGGCTCGACTGCCACTGGGGTTGAGAGATTTATCCTTGTGGACAAAAGCTATATTAATTTTGCAATCAGTCTCCTATAGTCAAAGCAAGAGTTCTTCCATATCTATCACAGGCAAATACTAGCTGCTGGAAATTGGGCTGTGAGAGTTCTTCTCATTTCCGCATTCCTCTTCTCTGTCCCTCCGTTACCCACTCACCTGGACTCAAGTACTGTTGATTCTATACGAAGTGTCTGTTGTGCCCTCCTTTCCGTGCCTTCCGCCATCCTCCCAACACAGGTCCTCAGCACTCTCCACCTCATCTGTCGCCACCGCTTGCCCCCGGATTCTCTACCCCCCTCCCCTCAGTGCACCCTACGCCTTCGCGCCAGAGTTACCTTCTGTAAAGCGCACTTGCAGTGCTTCTGCTGTGCATGGCGGGGCTGCCACTCCACACAGAGGCCGAAGCTGTCCCCAGAAGATTGTTCAAGAGTGTGGAAGGAAGGACTAGGCCACGTGAAATGGTTGTTCGGAGGCATCTTGTGCTTCTGTGGCTTTCCTGCACTTGCACAGCCGCGCCTCTGGCTCGCCCCCTCCTCCCAGCCCCGCAATGTCTCTTCCATCCCGGATTCTCCTTCCCCACCCCGCCTCCACCTCTCAAAGTGTTATTCAGGTTTCAACAGGGGAGACACTGATTCTAAGGCCTGTGCATAAGGTGGAAATCTTATATCGTGGAATCAAAATGACACGTCGAAACACTAGAACCTCCCTGAGAGTGACCAGGTGCCCCCTGTCCCCTCCTCCCCACACCTGCTGAGACGCATCAGGGGACAGAGACCCCCTACAGAGTCTCACCGTCATGTCTCCTAGCTCCTCGTGTTCTCTCCAAGCAGGGTTTCCCAGCCTTTCCATGTCAGGCACGTGGCACACCAGAGTGGATGCAGAGGCTGCGCATGGGGGTGGAGCCCTGTGGCCACTCAGACCCCTTCAGGTGCACCCTGGGGGTCGGGGCAGCCCTCCTGCAGCGGTGCGCCAGCTGAGAGTCCCTGTCCTAAGGGACATGTTTGATGAATAAAATGGCTTCTGTGGTTTTTACCTGTGTCATTCTTCTTTTCCTGAGTAGATATGGTTGCATCCCTAAAAGTTAGATACGTCTGTGATGTGACTCCACTCTAATAAATTCTACCCTTCGTGAAGTCGGCCTTGATCCTCCATAAACACTGTTTGTCTCTTTCATATAGTTTGTGTGTAATCTGGGAATTTATGAACTTGGTCTGACCCTTCAAGGAAAGGAACTATAACTTGTACGTAACTTGGCCTACCTGGCCTGCGGTAGGTGTTTGAATGTGCCTGTGTTGAAGCAGTGAGTGATAGCTTCTTCTTACATCAAAATAAAAAGCTTGTGCACAGCAAAGGAGACCATCAACAAAATGAAAAGGCAACCAGCTGAATGGGAGAAAATATTTGCAAATCATATATCTGATATCTGATAAGGGGGTGATATCCAAAATATATATAAAGAACTCATACAGCTCAATAGAAAAAAAAAATCTGATTTTAAAAATGGGCAGAGGGGCTTCCCTGGTGGCGCAGTGGTTGAGAGCCCGCCTGCCGATGCAGGGGACACGGGTTCGTGCCCCGGTCCGGGAGGATCCCACATGCCGCAGAGCGGCTGGGCCCGTGAGCCATGGCCGCTGAGCCTGCACGTCCGGAGCCTGTGCTCCACAACGGGAGAGGCCACAGCAGTGAGAGGCCCGCGTACAGCAAAAAAAAAAAAAAAAATTGGGCAGAGGATCTGAATAGACAGTTTACCAAAGAAGACAGACAGATGGCCAACAGATGCGCGAAAAGGTGCTCATCAGCACTGATCATCAGGGAAATGCAAATTAAAACCACAATGAGATGTAACCTCATACCTGTCACAATGGCCATCATCAAAAGAGATGAGAACTAACAAATGTTGGTGAACATATGGAGAAAAGGGAACCCTCGTGCACTGTTGGTGGGAGTGTAAATTGGTCCAGCCACTCTGGAAAACAGTATGGAGTTTCCTTAAAAAACTAAGAATAGAACTACCATATGATCCAGCAATTCTACTTCTGAGTGTTTACGCAAAGGAAACAAAAACACTAACTCAAAAAGATACATGCATCCCATGTTCACTGCAGCACTATTTACAATAGCCAAGACATGGAAGCAACCTAAGTGTCCATCAGTGGGTGAATGGACAGGGAAGATGGGGCGTATGTATACAATGGAGTATTACTCAGGTGTAAAAAAAAGGAAGTCTTGCCATTCACAACAACATGGATGGACCTTGAGGGCATTATGCTAAGTGAAATAAGTCAGAGAAAGACATAGAATCTAAAAAAACAAAACAAAACCGAATATATAGACGCAGAGAGCAGATTAGTGGTTGTCAGACACAGGGGGGTGGCAGATGGGTGACGGGGGTGAAGGGAGTCAAAAGATACAAACTTCCAGTTATAATGTAAATATGTCCTGGGAATGTAACGTACAGCATGCTGACTATAGTTAACAACACTGCACTGTATATTTGGAAGTTGGTTAGAGAGTAGACCTTAAAAGTTTTCATTACAAGGGAAAAGAATTGTAACTGTGTTGTAACTAGGCTTACTGTGGTGCTCATTTCACAATGTATACAAATATTGAATCCTTATGTTGTGTATCTGAAACTAATACAATATTTTATGTCAATCATATCTCAATAAAAAAATAGCTCCTTCTAGGGATCCTTTGCTTGACTGATGTCACATTAGCGCTTTTTTTCTTATTTTGCATCCTTAATGCCTTTCGTTCTCCTCTGTGTTTCTCTCTCTATAGGAATTCAGAAATAGGCTTGGGAACCACCTGAATTCAGTATCCCACACCTTGGATGCAACTCAGCAAGGCTCGGCGAGTTCCAGAATGGCGCTACAATTGCAAAGGCTACACCAGGACTGTGCACTGAGGATGTCTGTGGTCCTGGCTCTGTTTGCTTTTCTTTTTGCTTTTTTGATCAAGGTCTGTAATTAAAACACAACTAACTGAAGCATCAGTGAGAAGAATAATGGGTTCGACCCCTGGTTGGGGAATTAAGATCCCACGTGCTGCACGGTGTGGCATTTGAAAAACAAAATCTGTGAAGAGGAATGAATTTCTAATTAAAATCTTCAAACAAAAGGAGAGCGACCACATCACTTCTCAAAGGGCAGTAATTTATACTGTCTCCCTGCCCTTCAGCCACACTCTTTAATGGGGCTTACCCAGTCTCATCTTGGGTTGGACTCATTGGTTATTTGACCTAAAACCCAACAACAGCTGCCATAGCATGTCTTTTCAATTAAGCTCCCCTTGGTTTATTTTTAGCAAGAAATGCGAGTGGTCGCATTTTCTTTAAGTCACCAGTCTTCAAGTCAGAACCTATTTGTACCGTGGGTCTGGTCACCTCTTCCTTATGTGGGAAGATTTTCCATTCTCAATAAACATTTGTACATGTATCTTTCTCTTTATGCTTTGTTTGGGGTCCCGATGCTACTACAAACATCTTATTTTCCACAGCAGATGTGTTACTGAAAAGTTTACATGGAAACCTGATTCTGGAACTTGAATCCTTTCAGAACGTACAGGGAGAGCCTACCAATTAAACGACTCCTGGCAACATTCTGAGAAGTCTGAGGAATCACCCACTTCTTTAGTTCCCGCAGACCTTCAAAGACTGGACTTGTCGAAAACAAGCTCTGCCTCATTTCTGACATTTTTGATTGATTCCATCCACTGTCTATTTCTACCTGACATCACTGGCCATTTACTAAATGAAGTGATTTCTTCCACAGTAAAAGGAATTGTTGTAATGGGCAAGGCTTATGACTGTCAGCATTTGAATAAGTTATTTGGACAGTTTTCATTTTTAAAGCCCCATCCCTTTTCAGCTCTTCATTTTATCTCAAAATGTTTCAACCTCTTTTGTATCTTTTGAATCCAGATTAAAATTAAATTATAAGTCGGTGAGTTAAAAAACCAAAACAAAACACTCTAGTATTAGTACACTTCTCCCGACCCTGGTATGTGCTTCTAAGAGGAGATCACATTTAAAATGCAAGGGTTTGCTCCTGCTTCCTCTGAGTCCTGCAGTGAGATGTCCACTTGGGATCCCCCTGTTCTGGCAGCGAGAGGAGAGAGATGTGTTGGCAGAGAACAAGAGCCTGCTGGGTGCTTCCTTTCTTGAGATATGTGCAGTCATTTCTTTATTAATAAACAGAGTGGGTTCCAGCGTGGTACTTATTTAATAAAAACCTAGCAGAAGTGGAAATGCTACCGAAAGCCTAGAGTCACACTATATAAGACATAAGAAAAGCTTCGCATCTGGGACAGATTGGAGACAGAAAGCTTTTTTTCTATTTCCACTGTCTCACTCTTCCTCTCAGCCCCTCATCTGCTTCTTTCCTCCCCTCTAGCTCTGTACCTGTCTCTCCTCCGCTCTCGTCCCTTCATTTTTTCTTCTGTGAGTGAGAGTGATACACCCAACAGTCCGATAGCCCCACGGCCCCTCACCAACCACGATGGGGATTATCAGGGATTGTTCAGCCGTACGGGATTGTCCCCGCGCCGCCCTGGCTGTTACATAACCCCAAGTAGGCTGCGACTCCACTCTGCTCTTAGGTCCAGAAAGTTTAGAAGCCCCGCAGCAGGGACCAGATCATACATGATAGCAGCCACCATATTGGGGACCAGTTGGCAAGGGGGTGGCAGTGGTCTGGAGATCCAGCTTGCTTCTTCCATGACCTCCTGCTAGAGGGATATGAGAGAGAAGCGTGGGTGGGAGTCAACCACTCAGTTATCTTGTAGACAGAATTCTGAATGCAACTGAGCCTGGGAGCCATAGGGGTAAGTGTGGCATCAGTAAAGCTGTTTCCTTTCCAGCTCCTCTCCTTCCTGCCCGTAGTGTGATGGCACATCTACCCTTTTGGGGTTAGGTCTGATGGTGTGACCTGTTCTGGCCAGTGCAAAGGGAGTGGAAAGGTCATGTCTTTCTTTGCGGCAGACATGTTCAAATCCAGTCTGCCCTGTGTTCTTTGCACCATAGACGTCATTGTGGACACACATGTCAGGTTGAAGCTTCCTCCAGCCTGGGTCCCTGAGGGAGTGCAAGGAGAGCACCTTCTGCCGGCGTGTGCTAGACGTTGTGTAGAACAAGAAAGGAGCCTGTGTTGAGCCACTGAGATTTGGGAGCTGTTACCATAGCATAAGCCAGCCTATCCTGATTCACACAGAGTCAGGCATGGTAGTATAAACTTATCAAATGTGCTATCAGTTGACCTGCAGTTTGTAGACATAACTGTCGTTACGCTTTATATTTTCTTTTCATGTTTTTCCTTAGCACCAAAGTCTTTTCATTTTTCTTTAATGCGGCCCTCTCTACTGAAAAGGAAACCCGTGAAGAGATCTGTCTTCGTTCATTCAGGCTGCTATAACAGAATGCCATAGACTGGGTGGCCTCTAAACAACAGAAACATATTTCTCACAGTTCTGGAGGCTGGAAAGTCCAAGATCAAGTTGCCAGCAATTGGGTAGCTTGTGAGGGCCCACTTTCTGCTTCATAGATGGCCGTCTTCTTGCTGCGTCCTCATACGGTGGAAGGGGCAAGGGAGATCTCAGTCTCTCTCGTAAGGGCGTTAATCCCATTCATGAGTGCTCTACCCTCATGACCTAATCACCTTTCAGAGGCCTCACCTCCCACCATCACATTGGCGATTGGGTTTTAACATATGAATTGGCAGGGGGTGGGGAGGACAATATTCAATCTATAGCAATATCTTTTGAATACTTTGGCCAATTTTTTCCTTAAATTCTTTATTAGAGTAAAACAAACATATGAAAGTGCACATACATATATAAAAATACGTGCATAAATCATAGGGTGGCAGCTTGATGGATTTTCAAAAAGTGAACACATGGTAACCAGCACCAAGTAGGCTCCCCATGCACCTTCCCAGTCACTAACTCTGTCCCCCAAAAGGTAACTACTATCCTTATTTCTAATCATAGATTGGTCTGCCTGTTCCTGAACTTTACATAAATGCAGTCATACAGCAGGCAGTGTTTTGTGTCTACTTTCTTTTGCTCAACGTTGCATGTGAGATGCATCCAGGTGGTTGTGTGCGGCAGTAGTTCATTCACTTTCATTGCTGAATAGGATTCCGCTGTATGAATATACCACATTGTAATTATCCATCCTACTTTCGAGTTGTTTCTAATTTTTTGGCTATCAGAATAATAATGCTATAAACATGTTCTTGGGTCCACAGAGATGTGCATTTGTATGAACTTATATCGAGAAATGGAATTGCTAAGTTAGGGCGTTTGCACACGCTGCCCTGGTGTTTGGAAAGCGTTGTACCCATTTACGTTCCTGTCAGCAGTATCTAAGAGTTCCAGGTGCCATCCACTTGTTGATGTGAACTCTGCCACTCTCCCCACTGTTTCTTCTCTCTCTGTCTTTGACTTTGTTCAGCA